TTCAATAAAGCACTTCAACATTCAAAGGAAAGAACTCAATCTCATTTGTCTCATTTGTTAATTTTGATATTCTACGTGTAAATCATCCATACCATCCTTGCGTGATAAGTTCGATGAGAGGCAAGTTTCTATACCCCTATATATTGGAAGAAGGTTCAAGAAAAGTATCACCCAATGTACAACTTTTTAGTAATTAGTAGATTATTGTTACTTGATGTGTGACTTTCAATATTTGGAGCAGATGATTGTGGTTTAGGTCCTTTTCTTGTAGGTACAGGAGGGAATGAAAATGGTATCATTCTTCTAGACAAAATTCTTTATTGTATCAGATCTTGCAACCAATCTTGTTTTGGTTTCACCGCATGACTATTGTACAAATTAATAGTCTCCTCAAATGGAGTACACCCAAATTTTGGAGCACAATGTGGTTGGCCTATTGTGAATCTGGATTGGCACATTGTGGTTCACGTGCCTCTCAAGTGGGTCTCTCTCTCCAAATTTGGTCTATCAATAGATAAGCCGCCATAGCAATGTGATGCGTGTGTTTTCAATAGAAGGGAGAACCTAGCCTTTTATAACTATAGTAGGAATTATCATTAAGATAGCGTCTAATTTTAAAAAGAGTTCTTACACCTTACATATTGCATCAAATAGATGATTGAAACAGATTTAGTCCCAAATTTTATATATCGTAGTTTTACTAGTCTTTACTTAACCTTTCTTTTTTGACAAAATAAAATTAATTAGTAGAAGCCTAAATTAAAAAATATTTCTATAATTATACAATCATATTTGGTTGAATATTTTGGTTATTTTTAGTATGTATTTGTCGTAGAAAAGATGAATATGTTGCAAATATTTCCTTATAAGATGTACTTCGCTCTTTTGCATTTCATGAGTTTGTTACTAGTTTTTTGGTTACTATGGAAAAATTAGTCTAGAATATTTTTTTTTTTAAAAAATCTCTATTCTTTTAGTAGTTTTGTGTGGAAGATATCATAACTCTATGTATTCTAGTTAGTAACATAATGTGTTTCCAACAAATGATAAATTAAAAAAATATAAAAATCCTAGGACTGCACAATCAATCAAATTGAAACGATAAAAAATGGCATAAAAAATTAAATAGTATATATGATACAATTGGCTTTCGAACTAAAAGAAATGATGCAGGAAGTGATAAGGGAGACGATACTTGTGACATGACCATGTATACAAAATATTATTTTATAATAAAAATGTACTTAAATACATCTTGATAATAGATAGAAGGATGTTATAATTAGCAGAGATGTTTAGGAACTTAGTTTGTTTTTGACTTTATCTAACTTATAGAGTGTTATTACAGAAATCTTGTAATATATAACCTGTTATTCTTCACTAAATAACTCATTATCATTTCTACCACTTTTGTACGGTGGATTATTATATAAATAAAGATTAGAGTATACCAAATTCTCTAGAGTAGTATAACAATAATATAGCTATTCACAGTAGAACTGGTTGAATATATGACATTAAAATTGCTTTTATAATGTTCTTACTCAACAAATAAAGAAGTAAATATAGCTACTAGTGTATGTTTGAAAAACTAGAGGATTCTTTTCTTTAATCATTTTCTCTTTTATCTACTCTTGATCTTACACTATAAGAGCATTTTAACCAAAAAAAATAGTCTGAAGAATCTTTTTTTTTTAAAGTGTAAGTCGAGACCTCTCGCTTACACTCCCTCCTTCCCCCAAATAGTCAAAAGAATCATTTAAATAAGAAAAATATCTGTCTATTATAGTAAAAATTATAGTTGATGAAATCAAACCTAAATTAACGCCAATTGTTGATTTAGGACAGAAGAAAGTGATGAGTTTTGATTAACATTAAATTTTAGACAGTTTTAAATGCCAGTTAATCTTACATTACTTGTAAATATTCAATTAAATCTATTATTTTGTCAGTAGATAATTTTTCATCATCTATGCTCAATATATATATATATATATATATTTGCTACTTCTAACATTCTTCTTTCCTATCTCTCTTTTCTCTTTTGCTGCAATTTAAGGTATCCTAAGTAGGGGTGTAATAAGATCTCTTTAGAATTTTTTTTTTGTTTACAAATATATTATAACATAATCTACGCCCATTTCGTGCATCTCGTGAACTAGTTAAAACTAAATATATGTTGGTTTTAGAAATATTGTTTCATAGTTATATAAATATTGAGGAATGAGGAATTTAGTCTTTGCTTTGATCAATTGATAGGGTGCATTTTAGTGGAATATTTTGGGTAATATTGCACAATTGTTTAACTAAATATTGCATTAATTGGGTGGATTCTACTCAAATATGATTTTGGTGCTAATTGCAGGAATTGATGCTGAAAAGTGTTTAAAATCAAAATTCAAAGGATTCATCGCACGTGGGGCACATCAAGCAGTGGGATCCGCTTAAGGTTTTTAAATTGTAATAGGTTTTTCTTTTATTTAGGGAGTTTTTGGTACTTGAATACGAATTTTTGGAAAGGAGTGAAAAAACAAGAATTTGAGGGAACCGTTTGTTTTTCCCTCTGGTGGGGCCGGCGGAATAGAAGGAAACAAATCCCTTCAATTTCGTGGCTACCAAAACAAAAAAGGAGGGAAGTATTAGACTCTCGGGGGGTCTGCTTGGCTTGGGATGTATTTTGTTTGGTTTTGCTATGCTTTGAAAACAATCAGGAGACAAAACGCCACTATTGTTGACTTTTGAAAAACACTTTTCATTCTTGTATTGACCAAATTGAAGGAACAAAGAAGAGAAACCTTTCTCGTATGCTTGTGAGGCTAGCCGCCATTGTGGACCAATTGGAATTGCTTTTCATTCTTGCTTTTGATAGAAATTAAAAGAGAGCTTCAGACTCTCTGTACGTTTGGCCTCGGAAGATAATTGAAAGTAATCGAAATCATTCGTTCCTTTTCTTTTCTCGGCTGACCGATTTTGGGAAAAAAGAATTGACGGCTATTTTCAACTTTGTTCGCATGGCTTGTTCTCTAATTATGGAGAACTAAATCCCTAATTCTAGTCAAGAGGGCAACTAACCACTTGGTTCGGCAATTACTGTGAGATCTAAACCGTTTTTAATTATTTCTTTCATTTATTGGTATTTATATGTTTCCTATTTTTAAATGTTATAGCTCTTACGTATGATTGATTAGTGCGCAATAATAAATTGTTCATATAGGTTATTTTGCTAATTATGAGTAATTGAATCCGTAATTGTTTGAATATCCCTATCTCAGTAACAACTGGCGTAATTGAGTTTATGTCAGGGAAACATATGATCTAATTTAAACAAATCCCCGTAGCGTGTTTGTTAGTTAGGATTGGACCTTTTTAATTATTAATGCAATCTAGAAATTAAATCCTATGGTCGTACCTAGGGTTGTTTTCGGATTAGAGAAATAGTTAATGGTCGTACCTTAACTATCGAGAAATTAAGGAAATGTTGGTTGTTTATCGCGTGCATGACAACTATAACCAATCTATTAATAAATGTTCGAATTATCTGTGAATCGATGATCAGTGCATGAACCATTTCTAAAGTGTACCCTTGGCTAGAATTCTCCTAATTATTTCTTTTAATTAATTATTTTCTACAGTTAATTTATTTAGATAGCATTTAATCGTGAAAACCCCCATTTGTCTGTATTCGAAAAGAAACAAATTTCTCCCCAATCCCTGAGGAGATGACCATGCTTGCCACTATCTACTAGTTAGTGAATTCAGTTAAATAATTAATTTTGGTATATCGGATTAAACAAACTCTTCGGGAATAGGGTGAATCAAGTAACTCATTGCACACTTAGGGTTTCTGCTCCAGTACTAGAATTGATTATTGACTGCTTCAGATTGTAGTTAGATTTTATTTATTATTATTGCACAAGTTTGGCACCTGTCAATTTTTGGCGCCGTTGCCGGGGACTAGCATTTGAATTATTTATTTCTTTTTTAATTCAATTTCTTCTTGGTATTTTTTGTTAGTTTATGCCCCATTCTTCTCGTACAGGTGAATTGATATACGACCTTGAGATTGAGAAGGCAGCACGTAGGCGAAGATAAGAGATCAAGAGATGAAAAGAAGGGCAATTATCTACTGCAAACGAGTCAGTAGAAGACGAATTTAGCATGGTTAACACCCAGACATTAAGGGAATTGGTTGCCCCGGAGTTGACTCATCAGCCCTTGTGCATTACGTTCCCAACTCTGACTGAGAAAACCTCCTTCGAGCTGAAATTGGGATTGATTCATCTCTTACCCTCGTTCCATGGTCTCTCTGGTAAAAAACTCCACAAAAACGTCAAGAAGTTCGAAGTGATTTATTCTACCATGAAACCTCCTGGGGTAACTGAAGAGCAAATTAGACTACGATCCTTCCTTTTTTCTCTCAAGAATGCAGCTAAAAATTGGCTATACTACCTACCCGCAGGTAGTATTACCACATGGACACAGTTGAAAAAGAAATTTTTGGAAAAATTCTTTCCTGCATCCCGGGTTGCGAGTTTGAGGAAGGAGATATGCAGCATGAAATAGTACCCGGGAGAGTCCTTGTATGACTATTGGGAAAGGTTCAATAAGTTGTGCACTAGAGGGGCTCCATACATCAAATTAGTGAACAACTGTTGATCCAGTACTTCTATGAGGGGCTCCATACATCTGACAGAAGCATCATTGACGCTGCAAGTGGAGGAGCACTGGCAAATAAGACGCCAAAGGAAGCATGGGAGCTCATTGAGTCAATGGCAGAAAATTCGTAACAATTTGGCTTCCGTGAGAGCAACCCCACCCGTAGAGTCAACGAGGTAGAGACGTCATCCATTCAACAGCAACTGTCAGAGTTGACGTCTACTATTAGGCAATCAGCCATGGGGAATACGCCGCGAGCGAAGGTGTGTGGAATCTGTACAAGTATGAACCACTGCACGGACACATGTCCCCTTTTACAAGAGAATGGGACGAAACAGGTGAACATGGCCGGAGACGTGCCCGCTCCCCGTAAGCAGTATGACCCGTACTCCAACACGTACAACCCCGGATGGAGAGACCATCCCAATTTCAGTTATGGGAATAGACCACAAAATTTCTTCCCAAATCGTCCACCAGGGTTTCAGCAATCATGGCAACCGAATCCTCAACTTTCATCCTCTAACTCAGGAAGCTCTTTGGAGGATATTGTAAAAAGTCTGGCCACGACTACCACTCAGCTCCAACAAGAAATTAGATCTTTGGTCATGAGCACTACTCAGTTTCAGCAGGACACCAGAATAGGTATGAAAGATATGGAAACTCGAATGAGCCAAATGGCAACTGCCATTAATCGCCTGGAGTCCCACGTTTATGGAAAATTTCCATCGTAACCCGAGGCAAACCCCAAGAATGTAAGTACCATGATTCTGAGAAGTGGCAAGGAAGTAAAGGGATCTAATGTGGGGAATTCGAAAAGCAAAATTGAGGAGGAGATAGAAAAGGAGATTGAAGAGAAAGGACGCATTTGTGAAGACACTAAGGTAATATTCACTCCTTCACCCCTCTATTAAATCTAACTTACCTCATTTTCCTTGCAGGTTGGAAAAGACAAAGAAAGTGGAGAAGGAAAAAGAGTTTTTGGATGTGTTCAGGAAAGTAGAGATTAACATTCCCCTGTTGGATGCAATCAAACAGATACCAAAGGACGCCAAATTCTTGAAAGATTTGTGCACCCACAAAAAGAAGCTACGGGGTGACGAAAAAGTGACGGTGGGAGAAAATATGTCAACTATACTCCAAAGAAAACTCCCATCAAAATGTGGGGACCCATATATGTTCACAATTCTATGTAAAATAGGAGGTACCCTAATTAGGAAAGCGATGTTGGATTTAGAGGCGTCGATAAATGTAATGCCTAAAACTATTTATGCGTCTCTTAATCTTGGGCCATTAAAAAGCACAGACATTATAATCCAACTAGCAGACCGTACCAATGCTTATCGAGAAGGGTTAGTTGAAGATGTTTTGATACAGGTCAATGAATTAGTCTTCCTAGCAGATTTTTATGTCCTAGATATGGGGGATGAAAGGTCATTAAATCCGTTACCTATCTTGTTAGGTAGACCATTTTTAAATACTGTTAGGACAAAAATAAATGTGAATGAGAATACTTTGTCAATGGAGTTTGATGATGAAATTGTAAATTTCAATATTTTTTATGCGATAAAATTCACTAAAAAATCTAACTCTATTTTTGCTTTGAGTGTTACTGAACCCATTGTACAGAAAACGTTTGAACAGGATGGGAAGGACGCACTGGAAGTGGCTTTGACGAAACACCTTGAGTTAGGGGCAACTCTCAGTGTGGAAATAAGTGATGAGTTGTATCATGCTATTGAAGCACTACACTCACTTCCATCAATTTTCTCAAGGTATGAGATCCCTTCTGTATTTGTACCTGAAACTCAGACGAAATTGTTACATTCTGTTGTGCAGACACCCGAGCTAGAGTTTAAACCCCTCCCAAAGCACCTGAAGCATGCATTTCTTGGGGACAAGGAAATACTACCGGTGATAATTTCTGCACACCTGTCACCGAGCCAAGAAGACAACCTAGTTCGTCTTCTTCAAGATCATAAGCAGGCGATTGGATGGAGCATAGCAGACATCAAAGGAATTAACCCATCCTTATACATGCACCGGATACGGCTTGAGACTGATGCAAAGCCGATAAGACAGGCGCAACGGAGATTGAACCCACTAATGATGGAGGTAGTTAAAAAGGAGATACTGAAACTCCTAAAAGTGGGAATCATCTTCGCCATCTCATACAGTCTCTTGGTGAGCCCAATTCAAGTAGTCCCGAAAAAGGCGGGAGTTACAGTAGAAGAGAATCAGGAGGACGAGATGGTCCCAGTGAGAAAGCCCACAGGATGGCGCCAATGCATCGACTACCGGTGATTGAATTCAGTGACGAAAAAGGATCACTTCTCTCTCTCTTTTATTGATCAGATGATAGAAAAGTTGGCTGACAGTGTTTACTATTGTTTTCTTGATGGTTTTTCAGGGTACTTTCAGATCGCAATAGCACCGGAGGACCAGGAGAAAACTACATTCACCTGCCCATTTGGCACGTTTGCCTACCGGAGGATGCCTTTCGGCCTTTGCAATACTCCAGCGACTTTTCAGAGGTGTATGGCAAGTATATTATCCGAATATGTAGAAAATATTATTGAGGTGTTTATGGATAATTTTAGTGTATATGGGGAAAGTTTTGAAGAATGTCTTGATAATTTAGCTTTACTTTTGAAAAGATGTATAGAAACAAATTTAGTCCTTAATTGGGAGAAATGTCACTTTATGGTGGAGCATGGTATTATCTTAGGATATGTAGTGTCGGTTAGGGGCATAGAGATAGATAAAATAAAGGTCGATATTATTTCTGTTTTACCTTACCCCGTCAGTGTACGGGAAGTGCGTTCCTTTTTGGGTCATGCAGGGTTCTACAGAAGATTCATCAAAGATTTCTCCAAAATTGGAGCGCCCCTGTTCAAGCTGTTCCAAAAGAATGTAGCATTTGATTTCACCGAGTGCAAGATAGCATTTGACAAATTGAAGGAATCGTTAACCTCACTGCCAGTCATTCAACCTCCAGATTGGAGTCTCCCATTCGAAATAATATGTGACGCGAGTGACTACGCAGTGGGAGCAGTGTTGGGGCAAAGAATTGGCAGGGCGGCACATACGATCTACTATGCATCGAAGGCGTTGAACGGAGTTCAACTTAACTACTCTACGACGGAGAAAGAATTACTAACTGTTGTTTTTGCATTAGAAAAGTTGAGACCTTATTTATTGGGTGCAAAAGTAACAATTTTTTCTGATCATGCAGCCTTAAGGTACTTGATGACGAAGAAGGATGCAAAACCAAGGTTCATCCGATGGATCCTGCTCCTACAAGAGTTCAACTTGGAGATTAAAAATAAAAGTGGGGCAGAGAACTTAGTTGCCGATCACTTGAGTCGCTTGCTTGCACATAAGGAGGAGCAACCATTGAGAGAGGAGTTTCCAGAGGAGCAACTACTTGCCGTTGATTCGTCGGCACCCTGGTATGCTGATATTGTAAATTTCTTATTAACTAATCAATTGCCTGCAGGTTGGCCAAAGGTTAGGAGAGACAAGTTGAAAAGTGATGCCAAATACTACATTTGGAATGATCCCTACCTTTGCAGGCAGTGCTCGGATCAAGTACTGAGAAGATATGTGGGTGCAGGTGAATTCCACTCCATTTTAAATTTCTGTCATTCGTTTGCATGTGGAGTGCATTTTGGGTCTAAACGAACAGCTCGTAAGGTGTTTAAGAGTGGCTCTTATTTGCCCACCCTTTTTAAAAATGCGTACTTATTTTGCAAATCCTGTGATAGGTGTCAAAGGGTAGGAAATATTTTTCATAGGGACCAAATGCTTCAAACTCCTATGTTGTTTGTTGAAATTTTTGATATTTGGGGGATAGATTTTATGGGTCTTTTTCCCTTGTCTTTTGGTTCCATATATATCTTACTTGAGGTTGATTATGTTTCTAAGTGGGTGGAAGCGAAAGCCACCCGTACTAACGATTCTAGAGTGGTTGTAGAGTTTTTAAAATCTAACATATTTGTCTGCTTTGGAATTCTAAGAGCTGTGGTAAGTGATAGAGGCACAGACTTTTGTAACAAGACTGTTGCTGCCATGTTCCGAAAATATGACGTACTCCACAAATTATCAACGCCGTACCACCCACAGACGAATGGTCAAGCCGAAGTGTCGAATAGGGAGATCAAATCAATTTTGGAGAAGATGGTGCGCCCCGATCGAAAGGATTGGAGGTTGAACTTAGAAGATGCATTATGGGCGTACCGCACCGCGTATAAGACGCCGATTGGAATGTCCCCGTACAGACTAGTCTTCAGTAAGGCTTGTCATCTTCCTGTGGAGTTTGAACACGCGTTCTGGGCGGTGAAGCAATGCAACATGAATCTGGAAGAGGCGGGGGTCCAACGGAAATTGCAACTACAAGAATTAGGAGAGATTAGGAATGAGGCATACGAGAATGCCACGATTTACAAGGAAATGAGCAAAATCTTCCATGATCAGCAAGTTTTAAGGAAATCATTTGTAGTGGGGCAAAAAATCCTCTTGTATCACTCAAGGTTTAAACTTTTTCCCAATAAGTTGCATTCTCGTTGGATTGGTCCCTTTATCGTTTCTAATGTGTTTCGTTATGGTACAGTGGAGATCCAAAGTTTAAAGACGGAGAAGAAGTTCGTGATGAATGGCCATCATCTAAAACCTTATTATGAAGGATTCTCTGTTGAAGAAGTAGAAATTGTACGCCTCAAGGATCCAATTTATCTTGCTTGAGGGTTCTGACTGTATCTAGCCAAAGACGTTAAAGAAAGGCGCTACTTGGGAGGCAACCCAAGGTTATTTGTTTTAGTTCTCGTACATTTTTTAAGTTTTGTTAAGTGTTGGTATCATTTAATTGTTTGTTGTTTTGGGCAGGAAGTTGGCAGTTAGGCGTGCTTACGCTAAGTGGTCACGTCTAAGAAAAAGAGTTGAAAGGCGACGGTCAGAAGACTCTAAAGCAATTAAGCGTACCCACACCAGGTGGTCACGCTTAAGGGAAGAAAATTCTTGTCTGCGATCAGAAAACTTTATAGCAGTTAGACGTGCCCACGCCAGATGATTACTGTTAAGGATCAAAAATTTTAACGGATGACTAGAAGACTAGATGGCAATTAGGCGCGCCCGCACCTAAGAAAGAGGTTCTTTGTTATATATATGTATAAAAAAAATAAAAAAAAAAGTGGGAGTACCCACGGTTGACCTATTTTTTCCTCCTTCTTTCTTTTTTTTTTTTTCTTCTTCTTCTTTCTTCTTTCTTGTCTTTCTTCTTCTTCCCTTCTTCTCCACCCGCCGCCACCTTCGTCTTTGTCCGCCACCGAAGCCTGTCACCACCTGCAGCCAGTCGCGCACACGCCATCAGCTCACGTGACCTAGCTCAGTCAGCTCGCGCGAGCCCAAGCGCGCACCAGCGCGCCATCCCCTGTCCGCGTCCCAGCCCAGCTTGTGAGCCTTACGCGCAAGCTCCAGGCGCGACCAACAGCCAGCAGCCCCGCACTCTGGTCTCCAGTCCACAACTCAGCTCGCACCAAGGCGAGCCTGAGCTCCAGCCATAGTGCGCACCAGCCAGGCCCATGCACGCCCAGCAGGCGCACGCCCCTCGCGCGCCCTTCTGCGCCTCTGCTCACGTACGTCGCCTTCCTCCACCACCGTGCCGTCTCTGTTGCTCTGCCGTACCTACTGCTTGCCTCCAAACTCCGGTGATTTCTTTCTTTAATTTTCTGTCACTATAGCTAAGGCCAGATTACTAATTTTTTATTAGCTGAGGACAGATTTTTAATTTTGTAGCTAAGGCTAGATTTTTGAATTGCTAGTTGATGACAGATATTTTGTGCTTAATTTGGGTGCTGTGATTTTGTCTGTGGTTGCTGTTAACTATTTGCTAAATTTTGTGCTAAACCTGTGGTATTTGGTGAATTTGTGGGCTGTTTACCTGTTCAATTAGTTGTTGGGTAAGTTTATTGTCCTTTTTTTTTCAATTGTCGATGTTTGGGAGCTGTGTTTGGGACCCCTTGCTTAGTGGCTGCCTGTTGACTTCTTTTGAGCACATTTACCCTGACTTTGCCCTGTTCTCTGATATCCAATGACTAAACCAAAAAATAAGGGTAAGAATAGACCTTCCACCTCCACCCCACAGCCTACTGTGCCTCTGAGTGGGCCTTCCCCAGCGACTGCTCCGGGAGGGCCCCGGACCCGTCTTGGACGGAATAGGGAGGTTCATATCTCCTCTGCGGCCCACTTTGGTGGTCATTTGACTTTTATTAAGGTTGTCGATAAGGAACGGTATGTCGCGGCTTGCACAAGGAAGATTATTCCTTGCAAGTACATCCACGGCCCTACCCTTGAACTCCTGAATCTTAGGGATGAGGTTGCTAAGCAATTAGCTATCATAGGCTGGACCCGTTATGCTGCTATCATTCTACCTGCTTTTACTAAACTGACGTGGAAATTCTATGCTACTTTTGAGTTTAATATTCCCGATGAATTTTTCGTTACCACTCCCGGGGTTGTGCGTTTTAGGTTGATGGGTAAGGAGTTCACATTGTCTATCACTGAATTTAATTTGGCCCTTGATTTCATTGATTTTCCCTATTCCCGGAGTGAGGAATATATGACCAGTTCATGCGAATACACGGAGCCATTTTTCTCCCATAACATTAGTTATTGGAGAGAATTGTAGGTTGACCGACAAAACTATGATTCTAGCCAGTCAAAGACATCTTTTCTCAAGAGCCCCGCCTACCGCTATTTGCACAGATTATGGCTTATAGTTTCTCTGGTAGAAAAGACAGTTCGGTTATTCTGACCAAACCCGAATTCTTTTTCATTTGATGCATGGTTGCTCAGATTAAGGTCAATTTGGGTTACTGTTTGCCTCTCACCTCCAAACTGTATTAAGAAAGAAAAATAATCCATTAATTATGGGTTCATATATCACTCACTTAGCTATGAATCTTGGAGTTTTGGACTTGAATAATCATAATCTGCATCAGGCTTGTACTGTAGAACCCCTCGATTTAGTTTGTTTGGAAAAAATGGATCTAGTGCAACAGGTAAATGGCGTTTTCTAGTTCGTTCCCCCCGGACCGATCGCGGTTCCTCCGAAGTGCAAAGCTTCCAAATCTGCCACTTCGGAGGCCGGTGGTCCTTCTACGGACGCCCCCGGACCTTCATCTTCAGCATCTCCGCCACCGCCCCTCTTCTGATATCCAGTTTTCAGCCTTTCGGTTCCAGCTGCACCACATGGATACTCGAATGGAGCGGATGGAGCCTCAAATGGTCGGAATAGCCTAAAATTT